GGGGCTATTTTCAGTTTGTTATTTTAATTAATTTTTACTACAGATTTGCAAAAGCATTTTTAAGGGTTAAATGGTTTTTAAAAACGTAGCACTGATTGGTGGGTCTGATGGATGGTGCTTCATCAGAGCTAAAGAACAAAAGAAATTTGAAGCTCCTATGTTGAACAGTTTGAGTTATAACTATTTTTGTTTGTCCAGACACCCCTTTGTCAGGTAAATTGGGGATCCGAGGGGGTGGGGGTCACTGATTGGTGGGCCTGATGGATAGAGCTTCATCAGAGCTAAACAACAAAAGAAATCTGAAGCTTCTATTTTGAAGAGTTTCTGAGTTATAAGCATTTTTGCCTGTCCAAACACCCCCTCTTTGAAAGGAGCCCCCTCCTCAAATATGGGGTGTTTTGTAAAACCGTTGGCTGGCGCAGTGTAGGTCAGACTCATCTACAGTTCTGCCAAATTTCATGTTGACCGGTGCAGATGTTTTTGTGCTACGGTTGACCAAAAATCACAGGGGAAAAAATTAATTAACTGTATGAAAAACCCCTTTTTCAGATAAATTGGGGGTCCGGGGGGGTGAGGGGCACTGATTGGTGGGCCTGATGGATAGAGCTTCATCAGAGCTAAACAACAAAAGAAATTTGAAGCTTCTATGTTGAACAGTTTCTGAGTTATAATCATTTTTGTTTGTCCAGGCACCCCTTTTTCAGGTAAATTGGGGTCCGGGGTGGTGGGGGGCACTGATTGGTGGGCCTGATGGATAGAGCTTCATCAGAGCTAAACAACAAAAGAAATCTGAAGCTCCTATGTTGAACAGTTTCTGAGTTAAAAGCATTTTTGCCTGTCCAGACAACTCCTCTTTGGATGGAGCCCCCTCCTCAAATATGGGGTCTATCATAAAACCGTTGGCTGGCACAGTGTAGGTCAGATCTTCTACAGTCCTGCCAAATTTCTTGTTGATTGGTGCAGCCGTTTTTGTGCTATGGTTCACCAAAAATCACTGGGGAAAAAAATAATAAACTGCACGAAAAACAATTTTTCAGATAAATTGGGGGTCTGGGGGGTGGGGGGCACTGATTGGTGGCTTGATGGATAGAGCTTCATCAGAGCTAAACAACAAAAGAAATCTGAAGCTCCTAAGTTGAACAGTTTCTGAGTTATAAACATTTTTGCCTGTCCAGATACCCCCTCTTTGAAAGGAGCCCCCTCCTCAAATATGGGGTCAATCATAAAACCGTTGGCTGATGCAGTGTAAGTCAGATTCTTCTACAGTCCTGCCAAATTTCATGTTGATTTGTGCAGCCGTTTTTGTGCTACGGTTGACCAAAAATCACTAGGGAAAAAAATATTAAACTGCATGAAAAAAAAACCGTTTTCAGATAAATTGGGGGTCTGGGGG